CTCCTCTGCCCTGGTGAGACCCCACCTGGAGTACTGTGTCCAGTTCTGGGCTCCCCAGTTCAAGAAAGATGAGGAACTCCTAGAAAGAGTCCAGAGGAGGGCAACTAGGATGATAAAGGGACTGGAGCACCTCCCCTACGAGGAAAGGCTGAGAGAGTTGGGCTTGTTCAGCCTGAAGAAGAGAAGACTGAGAGGGGACCTTATCAACACATACAAATATCTTAAGGGCGGAAGTCATGAGGATGGAAGCAGTCTGTTTGCAGTGGTGTCCAGTGACAGGACTAGGGGTAATGGGTGCAAACTGAAACATAAGAGGTTTCAGTTGAATATGAGGAAAAACTTCTTTACTCTAAGGGTGACGGAGCACTGGAACAGGCTGCCCAGAGAGGTTGTGGGGTCTCCTTCTCTGGAGATATTCAAGGCCCGCCTGGATGAAGTCCTGTGTAGAATGCTCTAGGAGAGCCTGCTTTAGCAGGGGGGTTGGACTAGATGATCTCCCGAGGTCCCTTCCAACCCTTGCGATTCTGTGATTTTGTGAAGACATTAGCAGAGCCAGGATCAAAAAAAGTGAACAGCACTGGGCTTGGAAAAGAGTATCTGTAGTGAAAGCTTAACGTCTAGAGAACAAAGAAGCAGTTGCTTCCAGATTTGTACATGACGGTAGCATCTCAAATCTCAAAGTGGGGACTGGTAATGTCTGAGAGTAGACAGGCTGAAGTGGCATTGTAATTGTACTTTCAGAGGTGATCTGCAACAGGTAGAGAACCAAATCACAGGCTGTAAAGCAAAGCTTGAGGAGGGAGTGACTGGGCAGGCTGATTTGAATGTAAGAGGGTACTTCCAAAAACTGACATGTAAGGCTATTTTTTTCTGTACCGTGAGTTCCTGTTTGATATACTCAATTGTAGCCTCAAGAGCTCTCGTCCCTCGAGTGGCTTCATCTTCTACTGCTTTAACAGTCTTCAAAAGCGATGTGACGTTTGTTACCATCACCTGAAGAAGAGAGAGGTGAAGATAAAAACATGTGATTCCTTCCTTCCATTTTTCAGAGACAGCAGGGTATGAAGCAAGGCAAATTAAGCTAGGCAGCAGTATTACTTCTAACAGGGCCTAAGAGGCTTCAGGAACTGTACTTGTTCTGGGACTAAATACCAACTCTCCTGTCGGCCAGTTTCTGAAAGCTCCCTGTCAGTTGCAGAAATGTAGCAGGGGTCAGAAATGCATAATATCCTACTGTAGAGCTATTGGAGGAGTATTTTCCATCCCTCCCTGCCTCCCTCCCCCCCTTCCCCAAGCTGCAAGGTCTAAATAAGGAAGTCGCATGCTTATCCTGACCTTATGTAATTTTTTAGAATGTAATATTTAGGTACCATTTCATACTGGGTAAATTTTAGTCTGTAACATTATTAAAGGAGAACCTGCCCTCAGATATGGGCTTGCAAAAGAAAGAAGTTTCTGTTCAGAAAGATTACAGTTCATCAAAACCACAGAAGTCATCTGACAGCCTACAAAAACGGATAGCTTAATGGAAACTCAATAGTGTCTTCTTATTTTTCTGTATCATCCTGAGAAGATAATGAAACAAACAGATGAGATTTCAGGCAATCAGAAATTGCTGAAATCCAAGCTTTGGATGTCTGTCAAGTGTGATTGCAGAGATACTGTCAAATAAAACGTAAGAATAAGGTTTTACCTTGGCAGCACCTTTCAGCTGGTACATGGACGGATCATCTGCTGGTTTGCTGGCAGCTCCTTTGGTAGCACCAATGAGATCAGAAAGGGCCTTTGCAACATCCTTGATAGCATTGATCAGGACAACCTATAGGAACGAGAAATAGCCATAAGCCTCAGTCAAGCAACGTTAGCCTGGATGAGAGCGTGATTTCTAGAAGACAGCTAAAAAATTAATCTACTACTGGTACACAGATAGTACCACTCTCCATCTACCCCGTAAAACACGGAGTGTTCTGGAAGAGTAAAATCTGTGTTGATAGCTACAGCATTTCATACAAGCAGTCAGAATCTGTAAAAGTGACTGTTTCCTGTGAAGAAATGGAAATGCTAGCTGCAGGTAGGATTTCCTTCCCCTGAGCTCCCCTAAGAGGAGGCTCACTTTTCTCCATGTTCTTCACGCTTCAGGAAGCAGGATGAGAGCAAGAAGAGAGATTGCTTATAAGCTTACAGTCGAATGCTACGGTTATGTACCAGGTCTGAAATCATCTACTGAAAGATCAAGTGTACTTGCTATGGCTTAGGTGTTAGATGGAGACATTCTTTCAGGGAAAAGGAAGTTGAATCTCTGTAAGAAGATATACAGGATTAAATGCCGAATAACTTGGTTGGCCTTAAAGTTAGGAAAAGTCAAATCTGGAGATATTGTCTCCTAAACCCAAGCTCAAGGACAGAAGTCCTAAACAAAATACAGACACTGCAACAAGCTTGTTAATTATTTTAGGGTGTTATTGGAATAATTCTCTCCTCCAAATCCTTCTCCTTTGCCCTTTCCACTAGTAGAAAATGAGATGGTTTTAATATTTTGCTGGAATTCAGAAGTGTTCATTTTAAGGAAAATGTTGAGAGAGGCATGAAAAATGAGAAAGCTCAGAAGATAAAAAAGGTGTGAAAGAATCACTTCTCGATAACTGCACTTCTGTAGCATTATAAATAACAAGAAAACAGTAGTTCCGTGTAACTTATACAGGAGTCTTTGCTTTTCCCCAAAAGTTTATTTAGCTTTTGGTAGCTCAGAAGCTCTTTGACCATGGTAATAAGAAAAGAACCTGAGACATAGGACAGACTGATATGATTCTCTGTTGTCCAGCCACTTACAATGCGCGGCAACTTGGCGTGTAAGACATCTGAAACTCTATCGCACCAGGTTAAGTAAGTGTTGCTGCTATGGAAAAATGCTGTGACAGTATCGGGTACTGAAGTTATTAGAAATGCTCCATTTAGGACACATGATGCACCTACAATTTCAAACTGGCAATATAAATTTGCTCCAAATAAATAATAACTTGTGCAGAAAAGCTTTTATTCCAAGTATTGTATTTTCAGCTTTTACATATAGAGGAAGAAAATATGTGATAAATGTTTTGCAAATGTTGCTAGTTTATGGAAATCCT